TGTGCATTGCTTGAGGATTGCGTTTGAAGTTGGGGTAGTTATTATGAGAACTACTGTATATCTTGACATGATTTAGAATATGTTACAGTAACCTTTTGTTGTTCAAAGACTCACGGCAGTGTGTGTGTGTGTGTGTGTGTGTGTGTGTGTGTGTGTGTGTATTTGTGGGGGGTGGGGGTGGGGTATCTATACCAGTATCTAAGCAGATATAGAAACAAACCTCTTGTCTAAGAATTGTTGTAAGGAACCCAGTCTTGTCCGCAGACACATTGTACGCTTTCTTAGTGGGAATCCTTTGTTCCATTGTCTCGTATGATGCCATTATACCTCCTTCAATATTAATGACAATATCAAGACTTAATTTATTGATTGGATAGCCTAGAAATGCAAAGACCTGACTACAGTAGATGGAGGATAGGCAGATAATATTAGACTTGGTTCTCATACCTAGATTGATCTAACAGGTTTGATCTATCTCCGAGGGGTTTCTTGCTGATTTGTAATAAACTTAAGTGGCTTAAATGTATGGCACGCCTACTGGAGCTGCTAAATGATAATTACCCCCTAGCAGTTCTTAGAATTGGGGGTTTCTGAAGCTTTATATTCTCTGTTCTTTTTTTGAAAATAAACTTTTGAAAATCCCATGTTTATGTTCTCTTTTTCTGCAGCAGGAAGCCTGTGTCAATGTGTTAATTAAAATTATTTAATTTTTTTTTCTTTTTTTTCTTTTTTTTTTTTTTTTTGAAAATAAGACTTGTCCCAGTAAATTTTGGTTCAGGCCAGTAGATTGTCATACTCTGGTGACCCTGATGGACTATGAGTTGAAAAGTATTTAGCACAGACCTTTATAATTTGCAAGAAAAGAGTTGTTTATGTTTTGATCGAGTTACTTCTTATTCTTTGCTCAATCTGTGGAAGTTTTTATTGAGCCTAAGTGTAAAATGCCATTCATTGTTATTCGTATAAAAAACAAAAGAATGGTAAGTGATATTTTGTTTTAGAGGAAATGACTTAGTGAAGTAAAAAATGCTGTTGATGTATCGTTTTGCACTGGAATTAATCTGGGTAACTTTTCTGTTGTTACATTTAGCAAATTGCCTCTTGACAAAGTTTTGTTTTTTGGCGTCTCAACAAAGCGGAAATGTTAGAAGTGATACATAACACTTGGTCATGTTACCAGAATACATGAAGTGACCTCAAGGCAGAGGTTCTTATAAATTTATTTCTCAAGCTGGCCTCAAGTATGTTTTCTGCTTTGTTACCTCATGGCTGTTAATTATTGAATATTTATCTTGTGGAATAATTAGCTCCATTTTCCTGATCATGACTGCTCTCAGGCAGTTGTCAATTAATATTGTGTGTGTGTAGTTTTCTAATACAACAGGCTATATCTGACTTGAAAAATTTCACTGCTGTACACAATCATTTAGATGGCAATATATGACAAAAAGTCACTAATGTATTTTGAAAACAAAAATTACATTTATACAGGTCAAATTTTTATGGCTATTCAACAAAATATTTTACCAAAGTGTGAACTAGGAAAATGACACAGTGTACATGTAATATATCTAATTGGACTTGGACATAAAAACAGTTAGTCCAGATTGACCCTCATTTGTCATTATATAATTATTCAGTATTGTTTGCCATTTATGGGCTGCTTATTCACTGTGGTCAGTCTTTGTTGAACAAGGTATATCAGGCACAAAAGATATCATAGAGTTGATATTACTCACTGTTGGATCACTTTAATCTCCTCTGTGGTCACCTGTTATAACATATATATCCTGAAACTGGATTACTCATGTAGATGATATCAATATAGATGTCTGCCGGGAGACAGTGGGTGAAATATGGTTGGTGCAGTCTCAATATTTTATGGTCTGTTTATGTAATGGAAGAGAGGAATATTTCACAAGAGCAGTGGGGCAGTTATTTCTTGTTGTTTAGAGTGAGGTAAAATATTCGTGTGCTGATGGATTTATGAAATGCGCATTACTGGGGTTTGAAGTTGATACATTGTTGAACGTATGGAAACATTATATGAAGTAAAACTTTTGTATCTGTTGAGACTGTTGTGAAAACTGGCACTGCTGACAGTCCAGGTTCATAAATGATTTTAAAAAGACAAAAATAATGATGTTAATTATGAAATAATGCAAACATCTAAACAAATTATTTATTCATTTATTTATTTATTTATTTATTCGGTTGGGGTGATAAAGAGGTGACAAACAAAATGTGATGACCCATGATAATCCAGGTGGTGGTAATCATAATGAAGGTATTGTGGTCAGTCTGGTCATGTCGTACATGTCGTAACCTAGGTGTTATGTTCTAGTGTGGCACGCAGGTCACACATTTCCAAACCTTTTCACATGCATTTTGTTCCAAATGGAGTGCTTGGAGTGCCTCAGTCTGCTATGGAAATTAGACATAACACATTTGTCAGTGCATGATTGAATATGGATTGAACATGACACTTGATTTCCTGCATGGAATATTTAGAGACAATTTGACAAAATACTGCTTCTCTAATTACATTGTCTAATCTGCAGTAAGAATTTTTAAAGAAAGGATTAAGAGAGACATAAAGTTAATAATAAATGATGAAAAGAAGTATATGATATATAAGTATACAATGCAATTCTCTGTATGATACAGCATACAGCATATAGAAATAAAAAATAAACTCTATATTCTCACCAAAACAGTGGTTATCAGGGGCGGATCCAGAGTTATTTTCTGACAGTCTTCCAATTTATCTTTGTTGATCCATCCTCCATTTTTGACCGTCTTCCGACAGAAAAAATTAGATACCTGTCAATGATACAGCATAAAAAATAGCAAAAACTAAATCTAGAGAAAAAGAAGACCCTCTCACTGTAATGACACAAAACCTGCAGATCAATGTTTGATTCAGAATAGACATTTTTTTTCAGCCACAAGGACTGTTCATTGCCCTTTTAATTGTGACTTCGCTCAGCAGGTTTGCCATAAATTCCGTGATCTCTTTATAAGGCCAAGGATATCAGTCACAGTACTTTGCCAATACATATCCATTTCTTCCTTCTTTCTACAGTTGATTGTTTCTGTGCCAAATGACTGTGTTTATAATGGAAGATTAGTCTCCAGGTTATGTAATACGGCAGGTATATCAACAGAAGGGGCGTGTTAGTTTTAAGCCATTTTAAAAGATGCCACTATGCAAGTGCAAACAACCCTGTATAATAGGCAAACAATCAATATTATTAGCAGTGCTTATAACAGTATCGGCAGGTTTGCAAGATTGGATTCATTCTTGCTTGTTTTGGGTAGGTAAACATTTAATGTAAATACCTGTGCTTATATATATATATATATATATATAGTTGTTATTAAAAAGTCTGAATTCTTATAATTAGCTTCTATATATAGTCACAGGGGAAATGTTTTTAATGTCAATCAATAAAATTAGCTGTTGTCATGTGCAATTTAGTAGGATAATAATAATAATAATAATAATAATAATAATAATGTGCCAAATGCATATGATACTATGGCATTCATGAATGTACTGCAATATATACTAAGATACATGACAATTTCATGTTGTTATGGCAGTTTTTGCTCATAACTCAGTTCAGTTGCCTTGCAAGCTTCTATGGACAATGGACAATTTAAGTAGTGGCAGTGGTGGAGGATCTTTCTTTCCAGTAACCTGCATACTTTCTTATTTGTGACAACATAGGTGAGGTATTGACACTTCTAATATTATCCCAGCAGCTGGCTTGATGAAGGGATTTTTCTCATGTTATACTGGTAACAACACTGTTAAAGTGAAAGTAATGACAGTCACTGCCTGTGTCATGCATTTCAGGTGACTGACAAATTTCACACTATGACAACTATCAAACTTCAAGAAATGACAGTCAGTACATAAATATATATCACTTTTCACTTTTAATAGTAGCCTCAGATTCCAGTCCAGTCAAACTTCAAGTACTGGCAGTTGGTGCAATATCTCACCCTAGCAGCTGTACCAATGGCTCCCCCACTTCCTACCTGTGGTGACAGCATTCAATGGGGTGACTAATGCACCCTCAGCACCCAAACGGAAGTGGGTCACTGACGCTTATCAGTTGTCACTGTGTGCTAAATCCTAGCTGTGACACATTTAACAGTTATGTGCTGCGGAGGGAATTAAGGCTGTGATTAAATTTTAACTTGAGTGTTGGTTTGATTTTGAAAGTTACAGGCCAGGTGGTGCAAGTATAGTTAAGTACAGATTACAGTGGATGTTTTTAAATTTATGTGCCAGTTTTGTGGATATTTTGATGAAGTTTGAAAGGGTATATTTATACAGACAGGTGAGGAGAAATTCTACGCTCAGGATTGATTGGGGAGATTTTTTTAAATGGGACCTGTGACAAGAGCCAAGGTCTGAGGTAACAGAAGAGAAAAGTGGACACCTAAGCTTTACCTCACAGTGGGGGAATTATTGTTATTATCACAAATTTTTTAACAGCACGATACAACCAGCTACTTGGAGGATCCAACATTGAGGACAGCTAGCACACAGAAAGTGATAATTAATTTATTGTGTAAGTAGAATTTCATGTTCAGTCAATTTGATAAGGTTATCAGTGAAAGAAGATTCTTTTGCTTTTACTTCAGAGGGTAGAAAGATGAATTCTAAAACGAGCAAATCCATATATTTGCAATTTTTTTCGCACTTCACAATTCCTTCACAGCTGTAGCAAGTTCTTCCTAAGGAGAGGACATTTTTGTGTGACATGTTGAATGGTGTTGGCAATATTTAGAAGTGGACATTAAGGCAGAGGCCAGTACGAGTATGTCCATCTTCAAGAATATCAAGTGGCCATTAACTGACCCTAGTCCAGTGTAGAATATTAAAGACCATTGTCCAGTGAGTGATTGGGCACATTTTATTGTTGGTCAATATATAGCGGAATTATCTGGGAGGACAGGTTCAAAATATACTTCATTGACCACTTTCCTTAATGACCTCTGTCCTATAGTGAATGCCAGGGTCTGTACATTGAAGTGGTCATTTAAGGGATATGCATGGTCAGTTGTCATTCAGACCAGGTTCAGTGGGCTATTGATCTGCTATTGAGCACTTGTATGAATATGCAGCTTTGTGCTGCATTGTTCGTTAGGAATACTGTGTGGTAAAACACTGTCACTGGAGCTATATATTATTATTATTATATGGGAGAACACCTCTGGTGTTTGTAAGATGTTTTCAAGGCATGCATGTTAATTGTGACATTTGATGTGGCAGTGTACTATTTGGAATGCATACTCAGAGAAAGTACCCACATTTGAATGGTAGAAAATTGTGAATTTTACAGATACTGTATTTTTGAAGTCATTATTTCTTAAATTTATAACATCCCTATCGAGTGGTAGCAACAAAATTAAAAAGCAAAATTTAAATGCACCACATATACTACATGGAAATATGATTTTTGTGATTACATATATGTAGGTATTAGAAAATTTGATAATTTTGACCCATTGAAAAGATTGAGTAAGTACTGTACTTTCTGATATGTGCTCTTCATGATTAATAGAGTGTTTTCACATAAGACAAAGTATGATACAGGAGTCATCTATATTTGAAAAGATCCTGAGCACTGTGGGATATCAGGGCCATTCATTGATCTATCCTGGTTCCAGTGCTTCAGAAGAAGTGTTCATTCACTTCAATACAAACTAAAATCATTTTAGGTTTGACTTGTCGAGAAGGCATTATATACTTTTATGGACACCAAGTCTTTTCCCTATAGCAGGTGAACTGTCCAGCTGTCATGTGGATGGCCACTGACGTCATCGGTCAGCATATACTTTAAAGGATGGCTGGAAGGCTTACAATTTTTTTTTAGATAACAACTTGGTTTGCCAAACAACCATGGACACGTATCCTTAGAAATTCTCATAAAGTAATTTGACCTGCCCAGCTTGTATGATGCATCCCAGTTGAATAAAACTACTGTACTTTCTAGTGCATGCTGTATTTAAGTCATGACATAATTACTACCAAAACTCATAAAAAACAATAATATGTTTCAATTAACTGTTATAAACCTAATGCATGCTGAATGCATTTTGGCCCTCAGTGAAGTCTGAGCAATTTCAACGCCATATTATGAAAGCAGACACCTTCCAGACTATCATACATATGTCACCTGACAGCACTGAAAGACGAGAAGGCAGTTTTCATATCTTCAGGATGAAATGGAATCTGTTCAGCTTTGGATCAAATAGGCTGGAAATTTTGTGGTGTAAGTTGGAGTGTGACATGATTTTCACTTTCACATCGGATAATTTCCCAACAGGAAGGATTTGGTTTTGATTAAAACTCTTGTATATGTGACATAAGCCATGGTCTCACTCAGTGAAAGCTCTCCTGTCAGGATGAAATGGAATCTGTTTCCACTTGGGACCAGTAGGCTTGAAAGTTTTTGGTGAAAGTTGGTGTGTGACATAATTCACACTGGGTGATTTCCCAACAGGAAGGATTTGAAACGTGGTTTTTGTTGCTTTCTCCAAGTCATTCTGACATTGCTCATCTGTGCTATTGAGGAAGGTGCTGCTATATGCTGCTTCAGTGATAGAATAGAGTCTTAGTATATATATAAGGATTGACTTGGCAGTTTTTATTTCAGATCTTTCAGTGAAAGTAATTTTGATGACTTGTTTGTTTCATTTTTACTGCAGTATTAAACCTAGCACTGGAATATTGCTCATCATTATAGTGCAGAAAGATAGTATTTTAAACCATTTCTGAATCAGTAATAGGACATTTAACACATGTGTTTGCAGTGTAAGGACACTGGTGTTTCAGAACTCTACATTTACATTTACATTACAAGCATTACGAGCAACAGGAATTTTGATCTCTGTTTCGTTTGTGACTCAGACCTTTACTTTGAGGACCCTTACTTGGC